ATTTGTCTCCCAGGCTGGGTGCTTGTGGTCGGGTTCCCGGCTGGCTTGTCTCCCACTTCCTTTCATTTGTCTCCCAGTTCTTTTCCAAGCTGGGTGCTTGTGGTCGGGTTCCTGGCTGGCTTGTCTCCCACTTCCTTTCATGTGTCTCCAACTTTTTTTCATTTGTCTCCACAGGCTGGGCGCTTGTAGTCGGGTTTCCGGCCGGCTTGTCTCCCACTTCCTTGCATTTGTCTCCCACTTTTCCCCCAAACAGTTTACTGTTAGGGGTTCTCAATTCTTTCTTAAGATGTCCTTTGTGTCACTGCTCATGTCCGCCCATTTCCACTGGCCATGTAGCATTTCTATTCATTTATCTCCCAGGTCTTGGTGTCAGCCCTTTTCCGCTGGCCATGCAGCATTTCGATTCATTTGTCTCCCAGGTCTGTCACTGCTGGTGCCCGCCCTTTTTCACTGGCGATACGACATCTATATTCATTTGTCTCCCAGGTCTGTCACTGGTGGTGTCCGCCCTTTTCCGCTGGCCATGCAGCATTTCTATTCATTTGTCTCCGGCTGTCACTGCTGGTGTCCGCCCTTTTCCGCTGGGCACGTAACAGGTCTGTCACTGCTGCTGTCCGCTGGCCATGTAATGTAGCACTTCTATTCGTTTGTCTCCCAGGTCTGGTGTCCGCCCTTTTCTGCTGGCCATGTAGCATTTCTATTCATTTGCCTCCCAGGTCTGTCATTGGTGATGCCCGCCCTTTTCTGTTGGCCATGCAACATTTCTATGCATTTGCCTCCCAGGTCTGTCACTGCTGGTGCCTGCCCCTTTCCGCTGGCGATGCAACATTTCTACTCATTTGTCTCCCAGGTCTGTCACTGCTGGTGTCCGCCTTTTTCCGCTGGCCATGCAGCATTTCTATTCATTTGTCTCCCAGGCCTGTCACTGGTGGTGTCCACCCCTTTCTGCTGGCCATGTAGCATTTCTATTCATTTGTCTCCCAGGTCTATCGCTGGCGTTGTCCGCCCTTTTCCAGGATGCAAGAGGGTTTCCGGGTGACTTCGTAGAAGATCAAAGGCAGTGTACACACTTCTTTAATAGACAGTCTCGTAAGCCTCTTTGCTACTAGTCAGCTTCTACGACCGTCTCGAACGCTCTTTAGTCTATCAGCTTCTACGACCGTCTGTCTCTTCGTTTCATTTTTTCGCGACAGGGTCGGCCGCTGGTAGGTGCGCTTAGTACAAGCTGGAAAGACAGTCTACCCACCGTCTTTGTTCACAATCGTGTTTGGATAGGCCTGCGGGTTCCTTCCCCCGTGGCCCCATGCCACGAATTGGTTTAATTGAGACCATCGACGGGAAACCCCTATTTCTGGGGGTGGCCTCCGCGCTCGCAACCGGCGGGGGTCAACCATCATGTTAGCTGGCAGAGTGGACTAGTCCGGCCCAAGTTTTCTCAAGTTGGCCTGTGGGTCGGCTAGGCATAGCCCTAGGACAGGGAGACCTATGGGCAGCGCTAGGCAGAGGCCCTGGACAGACCTCAGTCTATCCCTCCGCTTCCTCTCTCTCCGAAAGGGGTAGGGACAGACAGGGACGAAGAAGAGGAAGGGAAAGGTGCCACCCGAAAGTGCCGGCTTTACCATTTCCGGCACTTTCGCGAGGTGTTCTTCCTTCGCCGGACTTTCGGACACGGTCGGGTGAGGGCGCCAGAAACAGAAAGGCCGCCGGATCAACGGGACGACGGAGGGACATGGAGCGAGAACGAAGGAGAGGGAGACAGCGGTCGGGAAAGCGAGGGAGGAAGAGAGAGGTAGGAAGAGGCAGGAAAAGGAATATATGGAAGGGAGTGGTCCCACCCGAAAGTGCCGGCTTGGCCATTTCCGCCCCTTTCGCGCGGTTTTCTTCCTTCGCCGAACTTTCAGCAATGACAGAGAAAACACACAAGAAACAGAAACGCAGCAGGAGAAAGGGAGGGAAGAGGGACGCAGACGGGAGACAGAGGCGGTGGGAGGGAGAGGAGGATGGACGGAGAGGCAGCGACTCACAGGGAAGGAGAGGGAGGGAGGCGGGATGAAGAACAGGAGGCGAGACAGGACACAAAACGGAAAGGAGACAGGTCGCGGGACAGACAGGGAAAGAAGCTGGGAGGGAGAGGCAGGAATCCGCTCAAAAAGGGAGGGAGGCGGAGGGCAAGGACGAGGCATCTCTCCCTCTTCCATTTCCTCGCTCCCTCTGCCTCGCTCTTCCTCTCTTTCCCTTTTCCTTCCTACCGCTTACTTCCGGTCTCTCCTTTTGTCTCCCTCTTTTCTCTCCCGTTTCCTCTCTCTCCCGCTCTCTCCTTCTCGAAAGAGGTGATAGAGAGAGAGAGAGAGAGAGACAGAGCGCGAAGGAAAAGGACAGGAAAGGATGGTGACAAAAAAGACAGCGAGTAAGGAAAGACTGCGGATTGGCCTGGGGGGCCTAGGATAGGCCTATGCCTAGGCTAGGCCCGGGAGTTCTATGCACAAAAATCAGAAACTAGGAGAAATCACCACCGGCGCAGACAATCCTTGTCATGTCTGGCAGTTTCCATGATTGCGAAGCAGCTAAGTGGATTCTTTGCCGGATTTTTGGTGTTTGTTTTTTGTCATCTGCAGATCTGGCGCACTAGTGTGGCCCATGACTATAGCTTCCTGGATTTGGCGGGGGCCAGCCTGGTGACGCGCGTTTGCAATCTGGATGGTGCGCTGATCTATTCTCAGAAGCAGGCGGCTTGCTTTGGCATGGTCCGGATTGATCTTGGACCCATCCACAGAGAACGTCAGATCGCACGAGTTGAGGAAACAAGGAGAACGCAGGTGCTTTTCTGTGAGTGCTACAGTTCTTCTTCTTGTTCAGCGCAAACATCGTCATTGCCATTTGCTGTCGTACCATACTGCAAACAACATCAAACAACCACTGGAAGATTGTCTTGCTTCCGAGCATCTGTAGCTTTCATTTTCCTCTCATTTCAACCCTTCACTGGCTCCCATCGATTGGAATATATGGTCCATCCATCACCCGAGTCGACCCACTGTACTCCCTGCACCGTGTTAGATGGTTTGCAATCCAATCAGAATCTCGGATCCGAGTTTCTTGAAGTGAGTGAAACAATGTGAGCCATATGTGAGCAGCTGGATGGACGTTCTCTTAAGTATATCATTGTTTTTTTTGAAGCAACCTCTGCATTTTGCTACGGACACGCCGGGACATACTTAAAGACACACCTAGCATGGTGACCTCTTTTTCTTGATCTTCTGACAGTTCAAGTGCATGACACGAGTGTTTGGGGTCTTTAGTATGGACTCAGACCCATTTTTTCCTGGCTGCCGTGCTGGCTGCCTTGGCGGCACCGAGTCGACTCTGGTGGAAGAGATCAACGCCTTCTTGGGCCTCGGCAAGGATGAACTAAGACTGCCGATCCTGCAGGTGGGCACGCTGCTGTGCATGCTCTGCATTTTGCTGTGGTGCCTCTGCGTGTACAAGGACCTCGCACAACTAAATTCAAACCCGAACATTATTTTGGTGATGAAATTCAACACTGGCAGATTCCTTTGGCACAAGTGTAAGGGATTCTCATCTACTGTAAGGACACAAGTCTTTTGGCCACGTCTGTCGCCTGTCCCTGCTCATTTGTGTCAGACGTCCACCGAAAAGAAGGGTCAACGAAATACAACACTAGGCAGGGGGGCCCCTGGAAGCCACAGTTGCAGGGGCACCCTTTCTGTCGAAGTTGGTTCATGGGGTTTTGTGAGAGAGGTTTTGGTACAGATGACTGGACCGTGCCCCTTTTTTTGGGGCATGGCCAAGAGGTGGAGGGTTGCGACTCACGCCACGCCCTCAGGAGCTGCGACGCATTTGGCTGGCCTTCGAGGCCACCCTGCAGATCCCAAGAGCCAAGAAGAGCAGGATGCAGAATCACTGCTTTCACGTGTCTTGGCTTGAACCTGTGGCAGAAGGCGTGAAGAAGGAGAGTTTTGTTCCCCACATTGACGTGTGGGGTTTTTGTTTTTAGTGTGGTATCCGCTCCTTCCTCCTCCTCCTCGTCCAATTGTCACCAACCAATTGCCGCCCACCATTTGTCACCAACCACCTACGCAGACATTGTCTCTTGCTAAGTTGCTAACATGTGGGGTTATCCGGTCCTATAATTTTGCAGAACTGTTCTAGAGTTCAATGCAAAGTTGCAGAGAAGCAACATGTACAGCACTTGAAAGCGTGACACGGGAAAGGCAATTCGGATGTTCAATGCATGAATGGGCTGTCAAGGTTTAGGGACATGTGTGATGAACTTAGGTCAGGCGATAATGTATTTTCTGTAGTATAGTATATATATATATGTGATTTTTGAAGCTGATTCTGAGTCTAAAGTGGGAAGGCTGCAAAACCAGCTCAAGGCTGAAACGACATACATATACCTTTTTATTGCATGCTGGGAAATATGAAAGGACCGTTTCATCCCAACCTCTATAACAAAAGTTGTGAATGTTGCGCTTTGCAAAATGACTTCAGAAAGGTGTTGCAATTGTTTGTAGGGTCACCGATTTGATGATGGTCGTTTGTTTTTTCCAAAACAGGAACTGTAGGAGTCCTTACTCTGGTGAAGAGTGGGCCGCAACAATGTCCGCATACATAAAACCTTTTGTGCTCTTGAAAACCCTCGACGCCAGCACTGCAACTAGACTGCTGCAAGTCACAGTTTGTGTCAGCAGCGCATACGACATTCACATATGATTGCAGACAACGTGTTTGTTCCATTTGCTGCAACACATGTGCTTCTGCTGTGCAAGAAATTTGTCGTGTGCAAAACATAAATGAGTTCTGTGCAAAGGACCTTTCATCTAGAGTCTAGAGTGGATGGAAACATCATCCTTAATGTTTTTGCAAGACTTACATGCCACAGCAACTAGACTGCTGCAACTAGACTGCTTTATGGCACCAGTGCATGCGACCTGGTACGATGGCTCTACGACGTGCGAAACGCACTGCAGCCAGAAATCGTGTTAGCATGGCGCCTGGTTGTCTTGCAGGCTGTTTGTAACGCAGGTGGCTAGTGTTTCTGGAGAAGGTGGTTTGCTGGTTACGTTGCTTCACATGGATGCGTCACTTTTTTTGTCCACTGGTTGATGGCAAATCGACAGCTTCGTCACACCCCATGCATGTTTCAAACAGTTTGGAGTTTATGCTGGTATGTTGTTTCTTGCAGTGCATTCATGACTCAAGAGAGCATCTCTGTTTGTTGCTGGGGCCTCTGGTTTAGCTCTGATCATCTCTCCACCATCCGAGCTCATCAACCCCGTCGGCCGGTCAGCTGCTTCAAGGCCCTGTCTGGCTGCCGCTTTGGCATGCTCTTGATGACTTACATCGCTCGCACAGCCATTGCTTCCGTGCTGCTGGTTGCTGGAATTTTGTGGCTGGCCAGAACGACATCCATTACAGAACTCATGTTAAATGCAGTGGCATTGAACGCCATTTTGGATGTTGATGAGTTCCTGTTCATTGGCATGACGCCCATCAAGATTCAACACACCATCAAAAGCCTCGAGCCCATCAAAGTCAATTACAGCCACCGTCGCAGCCAACGTGAGACAGCGGTGCATTTTACGTTGATTACGATAACCGTGCTGTTGTCCTACAGTTTTTTGGTTGTCCCTCTGACCAACAACATGTTGGCCGTGAAGACAGAACTGTGTGGCGGTAACCGGACCTTTGTGGTTGCCTACAACCCAGAAACCCAGACCACCTTTGGACTTGTCACGGCGCAATCGCGTGGACTCGAAAGCAATTTGTCGGCATCGGAGATGGCTGTGAAGTCGCATATCGGAACAACACCTGAGATGGTACCTGGACCGCTTCCTGTTGAGGGTTCCATCGCTACAAGGTGGAGGCCATGGCTATTAGGTTGGAGGCCATCGCTACTACTGTAGTAACAAGAAGCCACTAGGGAGAAGAACATGGTTCCAGTTTCTAGGAGGGACTCCCCACTGATAATTACACTCTCCATAGACTTGAGTCGAGAAGAGGCCCCTGACAGGACCCATCCCGGACTACATCTTCTTCTCACATAGCCGCAAGGTCTTTGATTTGGACCGTACACGATCCATGGCGGAGGAAGCTTCACTGTATCCCGTGTGCATGGAGAAAGACACTCGGATTGAATATATACTTGCTTTCTCATCCTTTGATTTACAAGTCTATTGTCTATTTGTAAATAGTACCATCATGTCGTGCCGAGCACGAATGAGCACTTTCACAAGGCCATTTTGGAGCTCAGGACATCATGCAGGAGACAGGTACCTTGCATGGAGATCCCACCATGACTCCATTGGTGCAGACCCTGCTGCGGAATGCGGGGCTGGTCTTTGGCAGGCAAATGGCTGCCAGTTGTCAGGAGCTTGTAGAGTTTTGTGACTTGCCTGAAGCCCAGTTGTTGCGGCTGGTGTGCGGTGACACTTGTGGATGCACGAGTCCACTTTCTTCGCCTTGGCACAAGACTAAAGATCAGGGCTTCAGCGTGTCCTGCCTACTGGAAGCAAACTGGCGGAAGAAGGACGTGAGTTGCGAGGATGATGAAAGCAGAGGTTGGGCCGATTTCTGGCACAACTATGCTCCGGCGGTATCCTTCTTCTATGGACGTGATGTCACCCAGACCATTCTCTGGAGTTACCAGAGCCAGGCACCAGTGACCAAAAATGCTATTATTGGATGTTAGTCCTAACGTAGACTTCTGTGTGTCCGCCGCACAGCTGGGGCACAAGGGTCTCAACTTTTGGAAGTTGGGGCGGTGCTGCCACATGCGCATTTTGCTTTTTTCGCTGCTGGCGCACGGCCATGGTTGGTGGGGCAACTCCTCTAGGGAGGAGGAGGGCCCGGCCTTAGGGCCTTGGCGTGTCTGGCTTCACGAGGCCTTTCCTACGACGGCGGACCACCTGACACAGGCAGAGCAAAGGGCAGAGACTGTCCGGCAGTACTTCGTGGAGACGGAGTACCCGCCTTGGAGCCACGGCATTTGGTGGGCCATAGACGCTCTGGTTAGCCTGCTAGGATGGACGATCTTCGGCGCTGCCTGGGGGGACGTTCGCAATGGCTGCCGCAGGTTGGTCCAGCTGGGAGGGATCTTGTTTTTATGCCTGGCTGCCCACTACATGTGGGCGGTCTGTTATCCTGTGGTCACTGTCTTTGTTGGCCTCCTCATGGCGATCCTATGGCTCCTTCGCCGATTCTTGAGGACCTTTGGCACCATCACCTTCTACGTCCAGCAGTGGTTGGGAGGAGCGCCCGAGGTCGATGACGTGGAGATGTGGGGCCCTGCTACTGGCTCCCCACCGGAGACCAGCCATTTGAGACAGTTCAAGCCGCCAGGGTCTGGTGAACGTTGGGTGGCTGTTCGGAAGGGGGGGGCTCAGGGCGGTGTTTCGCCTGGGCTCGGAGGGTCAGACGATCCGCTCCCACGGCCTCTACGTGCAGGCGACCCTCCCCTGGTGAGTGAACTTCGACGCACCGATCGACTCCACCTGTGTCGCCACCTGGCTTGTCCCGAAGAAGGAGGCACCCACGTCCAGGAATATGGAGTTGTAAAGGCTTTCAATCCGGAGCGCTTTCAGTATGCCCAGGCTGAAGCGGGGGCTCGTGCTACAAGTGCTCAGATATGGTCTTGGATTCGAGGCTCTGGAGCGGAGGTTCAACGGCTGGCCCAACGAGCTCGCGAGTATGCTTCTGAGTCCGAGGCTGAGGAGGACAAGGTGAACTGCCTGGCGGGTCTCATCAGCTGGGAGACCGCCGAAGGGGCAGAGCAGCTGGGCCATGGATCCTGTCCCCAACCAGGAGCAGAGTTCAAGATGCTCCTGAGGGAGGACTATCCAAAGGGCATTACCAAGGTGGGCCTTTGCACAATGCATACAGCCAAGTACCTCCAGTACAGGCGGGCCAAAACTCACTGCGGAGGAGGTGACGCGTGCCAAGGAGAGAGCTCCGCTGGACCGTAACGGGACCTTGCTTTGTTGGGGCAACCTCCGCATTGGGTGCGATACCACGGGCTGCCAGCGATCCCACGACTCCCTTAAAGGACCTTTTGAAGCCCTAGACCCAGCAGTTCAGATGCAGCTTCTTCGGCGGAGCTGCAGGAAATCTTTGCTGGGTTGGGAGCGGTTACGGCCTGTTGGTCAAAGACGGGCGCTGCCCGACCCCCGGTCGAGCTTTATGAGGACCCGCGTGCAAAAAAGGGAGCCCGACCTGATCATGATCTCCTATACACGGTCCAGTGACGGTCCAAATGTGGGGTGGATCGCATCACCGCGCACCTCATACTGTGATTGGCAGCTCCAAAATGGGGGAACCCGGACATGGGCTCATCCTGAAGGCACCAATATACAGGTCCACTACAACGCACTGAGGAGCAGGGCAACACGCTCTCCAGGTTCTCAGCAATCTACTTCGAGACGATGCTGGACGAAGGGGGCTTTCCGGTGGCCGAATCTTCTGCACCAAGTGGGCGCTACCCCAAGCAGTGGAATCTTCCGGAGTGGGAACGTGTGCTGGCACGTGCAGATGTGGAGTGGGTCGATGCGGTCGGCTATGGCATGTGGACTGGGCACACCCGCTTCTTCCTCAAGAACTTCGACGAGGTCGAGGACGAGGACTACGCCCTGCAGGAGGAGATCCAGGAGGATGAAGGTGACCCGATGGAGGACCAGGGCTCCTGGGAGCTTGACTCCGACCCTGGGGAAGCTGCTAGCTCCAAAACACAGAGGTTCCCCTCGACATGCTCACAGATGAAGCAAGCCGAGGCTGTCTGGGAGGCCAATGGCACACAGAAGAGCACTGCCCCAGCTCCTCTCCGGTCGGAGCAGCACTGCAAGCAGCCCACAAAGATCTTGGAAAAGTCGACTTCCGCACACCAGAAGGCCTCCTTGCAGGCCTTGGATATGCCATCACGAGGCCTGGGCATTGCTACCAGTTCCAACAAGCCAACCTTGCCTCGGACAGATCTGGCGTATCAGGTGTCCATCAGTGGAGTGTTCGCTGGACCAGACTGGAGAGGGACACCACGGCAGCTACTACCGCAGCCCTAACCCGGAGGCCAAAGAAGCGGCATGGAACTATGTCAACCAGCTCCAGGAGGGTGGCTTCGGCGGGACGCGAGAGGATTGGGTGAAGGTCGTCCAACTCGGCAATGATTTGTTGAGTAAAGCACAAGGAGTAGAGGGTGCCGCCTGCAGTCTTTGGGAGGTCCGGGAGGAGGCGGGCCTCGCCAACTTGAAAGGGTTGGATAGCCGGGAGCTTGACGGGAAGACTTCATCCAGACTTCTGGACTACGCTCGAGATGTTCGACGACGGGGCATGGCCGCACGCTATGTTGGCCCGCGGCATCGAGTCCCTTCTCGTCTTCACCCTAATGCCTGACGGAATGTGGCTCAGGTGTTCAAGCAGATTGGGAAGGATGTGGCCAAGCGCCGGGTGCTGGTTGTGAGTGAGCTCGGACCACGACTGCTTGGAGTGCCATCTCTTCACCGTTCGAGGCCGTGGACAAAATGTGCCCTGATCGTTCCATTAGTGAAGAGAAGAGGATTGTCCACGATCAGCGGGGAGTGAACCAAGGCACCACCAAGTTCTTACACCCCCCAGCCATCCAGCCGGCACACGTGCAAATTGCACGAAGAATCCTGTGGCGCAAGGTCAGGTGCCCAAACCTTCCTGTGGTGATGAGCAAGAAGGACATCGCTGGGGCTTTCAGGTTGTTGTGGGTGGCGCCCGGCTCTTCGGCGGGGCTCCAGAGCAGGCAGAGCGGAGTGCGAGCGGGACGTCTGTTGGTGAGGCTCGCCAACTTGGTTGAGATGAAGCACAACTGCACCATCATCGCGGGCTGGTGGAGGACTTACCACAACGTCGACTCCGACTTCATCACGCGGTGCACGGACGAGGAGTTCCGGGAGTATGTCACGGAGAAGCAGTGGATGTCGGGGAGGCCGTACGGCAAGCCTTGGAGGACTCGGAGCGTTTTGGCCCGTGCTTCCTTTCGTGGGCCTCCGAGGTGGATCGGAAAAGCATGATGCAGCTGAAGGAGAAACGGATGTTCCGGCAGCTCCAGAAGGAGGTCCAAATCCCATGGGCGCGCTATGAGGTGGAGGAGTGGCATCACGGAATGCGCAAGGTGAAGGACTTTGAGCTGGTCAGCCAGGAGCTTGGGGCGCATCGGTTTCAGGAAGGGAGTCGTCAACTGCGGCTCTTGTGCGCGAGCATTGGGCCTGACCCACATGGAAAACGAATGGAAGCCTTCCTCAATGCTGCAAACCGAGCGGAGGCAGCGGTCGCCTTGGTGGAGGGCCCCCGCCACGCTGCGTGGGAGAAGGGTGAACGACGGTGTCAACGAGAAGGGTGGCGCTATGGGCTCATCGACTTTGTCAGAGGAGGCGCAGGGCACTGGTCGTGCAGCTTGTGGGGGAGAAGGTATACCAGGCGCTGGGTCAAGCCCTATAAGATGGAGCTGCAGGGAGGTCAGCCTCGCGATCCCATGCTTCCCCAAGGAGTTGGACACTATTGGATGCAGCCGGAATCACCTCGTGAACCATCGAGGAAGAGGACCGCTTCAGGACATGGACATTGGAGGGGACGAAGGCGACTGGGGTTAAGACCGCCACCAGCCTGCTGACCGTAGGGGGCTACATCCTCTTCACCATCGACCAGCTGGAGGCCAAAGCGGGAATGTGTCGGGATGTCCAAGGGGGCGAAGCAATGGCCCAACTACTGGTATGGCTTCGACGGTGGAAGCGGGGTGAGCTTCGAAGGGCAGGTGGCCAATCGGTGCGACACATCATTTGCTGGGTCGAAAGCTGGTGGCTCAACATGCTGGACATCGAGTCGGAGGAGGACCTCGAGGCGGAGGAGGGGTCGCAGTACGCCGGAGGACGTCCGCGCAAAGGAGCTACACAGACCATTGGGGGTGCGCCGGCCTCGTCCTTTCGACGGTCAAGTGGCAAATCGGGTGGAAGAATGGATTGAAGAAAGTATGGAAGGTGCGAAGGCCACGAGCACCGAAAGAGCCTATGCGGGTTCGTGGGAGAAGTGGAAGGCCTGGGTTCGGCGCCATGGATGGGAGTCGGAGTATCTCAACCGCAAAGGTGACCCGGTGGAGAATGAGAACGTTGCTGGGATTCATCGGCTACCTCGGGTGGCTTGGGGCATCGGCAGCCACGCTCAATCAGGCCATCTTTGCGGTGAAGGACGGTCATAAACGAGCAGGAGCAGGTGACCCGACTGAAGGTATGTGCCGCTTGTGGATCTTGGTGCGGGCTATGGACCGTCGGATGGTGCACAAACCTCGCCACCTTGGAGTGACGCCTCAGATGCTGGTATGGCTGGGTAACCACCTGGTCGACCCTTTGACGCCGGAGTGTCCAGCCTTTGCGGATGCCGCTATGATCCAGGCTTCCATGACTACGGCGTGGTTCTATATGCTGCGAGCAAAGGAATACTGTGACAGCAATGGCGTCGACGAGGACATGGTGCTGAGGGGTGTCGACTTGCGCTTCACCAAGGACGCGATTGCGGTTGAGGACAACACTGCGAATGAGGTCACGATGCAGTTCCGCAAGACCAAGACGGATCAGCTGTGCTTCGGCGAGAGTAAAACTTTGAAGAGCACAGGGGTGCACCATTTATGCCCAGTGGAGGCACTGCTACGCATGAAGAAGGCCTGGCCTACGCGGTTCATCAAGACCCATGGAGATGCTTTGAAACCACTTTTTAGGTGGGCCAATGGCAGTGTCTTGAAGAGGACGGAGGTGCAATCGCTCTTGCAGCAGGCAGCGCGTGGAGTTGGCCTGCCGCCAGAGCACTTCATGAGCCACAGTTTGCGCATCGGTGGCGCCACGGCCCTCTTTCAGAGCACTGGAGAGATTGAACTGGTAAAGCGCCAGGGCCGGTGGTCGAGCAGTGCCGTCCAGAGGTACTTGCATGACGGAGGTGAACAGTTGGCAAGGGTGTCGGTCAAGATGGCCGTTTCCGGGAATGCCACCAACTACGCATGAGTGAGGGCGGGCTGAGGCACAAGATGCCACACCTTCACGGCCATTTTGGC